GTGTGTGTGTGTGTGTGTGTGTGTGTGTTGGAAGCCAGAGGTAGATACCACCTGTCTCCTTCAATTACGCTCTACCTTATGTTTTGAGAAAGGCTTTCTCAATGAACCTGGGGCACACAGTTCAGGTAGACCAGTTGGCCAGGACTCCCCAGTGCCCTCCCATCTCTGCCTCATTACAGTTGGGCACCATTGAAATCCCTTCCCTCATACCTCCAAGGCAAGCAGTCTACTCCTCCAGCTTCTTTTATTTATCTTGTTTTTGATGGCTCTTTCCCCTTAGGAAAGGCTGGTTTAATGAATTCAACAATGGGCTATGATACCAGGGATGTAACACTGTTGGGGAATATTTATTTAACTAGGCAAAGGTGTGTTATATTTGTTTATGCTGCAGAATATTTAACTGTGTAAAGCTGTGTTGCTTTTGTTTATGCTGAGGAATGTTACTTTAACCATGTGAAGGTGTGTTCCGTTTGTTTCGCCTTGCCTGCCTAAGGCACCTGATTGGTCTAATAAAGAGCTGAATGGCCAATGGGTAGGCAGAGAAAGGGTAGGCGGGGCTGTCAGGCAGAGAGATAAACAGGAGAGATCCAGGCTTGAGGGAGAAGAGGAAGAACAAGAGGGGAGAGGAGGGACTTGCCCTAGGTAAGAAGGCAGGAATTTGCTCGCCTGTTAGACACAGGGAAGCTCCTTTCCCTAGGTGTGCCCCTCATTCTCTTCTATTCATTCTCTCTGCCCGACAGCCCCCCCCCCCCATCCTTCCTCTGCCTACCTATTGGCTGTTCAGCTTTTTATTAGGACAGCCTGTGTTGAACTGGGGACTTCTGGGAGACCCCTGGCAGCGAGGGGCCACACTTCCCCAGGGCTTTTGAAAGAGACTCATGTTGCTGCTTTTTTGGGCAGAAGGTGCTCCTGAACTTGTTACCTATGAGAGAGTTTCATTCTGTAGCCCAGGCTGGCCTCAAATGCACAGCAATCCCCCTGCCTCAGCCTCTCGGTGCTGGGTTTATAGCTGTCAGCCGCCACACCCAGTTACAAGAACACTAAATTTCAGGTGTGATTTGCTTCCCTTCTGGTTGGATGGCTCTGGGCTGAGGGATGCTGCTGGGTCACAGCAGAGCAATGCCCAATGCCCTTGTTTCCCAGCCATTTCCTCTGGCGTTCATTTCTGAGTGCTTGAGGATGAATATTCACTGGGCTCTGGTTGGCTTAATTCAATGCCCCGGGGCCTTGGGTTACGATACATCTCCCATCCAAATGGTAACCAGGCCCAACCCCTCTGAGATCAGACCAGATTGGGAGCGTTCAGGGCCACGTGTGGATTCATTTGATTCTGACATGAGTCTTGGCTGCTGAGGTCAAGAGTCCGGTGATTCTGCAGATTTCACCCGGGAGAAGAGCAACCTCTTTTCCTTCCATGGTGCTGTCAGCTATCTCCGGTGCTGCTGTGCTGAGGTGGCTGTGTGTAGGCTGGGGGAGGCGCTGTGAAGTAGCAGAAAGGGTTTGTATGCCGTTACAGGGCTGCATGAAGGTTAGGGAAGGAGCTGTGTGACGTGGCAGCGGCAGCTGTTTGAAGACAGCCGCAATGGCGGCTTTCCCCAGTTTGGAACCCTCTGTAAACTCCTGCTTTTCAGGACTTCAGGTCCCGCCGTTCCGTGGTGGGAGAGAAGTGTATGATCTTGGAAAACGATTAAACCCTGCCTGCTACATACTAGTCCTGTGAGGCTGTTTCTGGTACCAAGGTCACTATTGCATGTGTACACAAGTAGGGCATGGAGAGAGCCTGGCACAGGGCATGTGGGCAGTCCATGGCTGTTACCAGGCATAGCCATTTTGCCACCTCGGCCAGATGTTTTCATCTCTCCGGGCTCTCCTCTTGAATGTTGAGCTGGTTCTGGAACAATCGGGAAGTGTAGAACCTGCCTGGTTCTTCTGTTTTTGTTTGAGTACTACAGATAATTAGAAACTTCTGATGTTCCTCCCAAATATGCCCAGAAAAGGAGGAGTCAGATCCTGGCATTTCTAATTTGATATCGTTAGTCTTCTGATTGTAGAAACTAAGGAACAACACAGGCAAGAAACACAGCACTTTTTGTTTTGAATGCGTGTGTAGCTCAAAACATTTAGATGGCCAGTCTTAAACAGTTAGGTCTCCTTCAGAGCTGGGCCGTTCCTGAAACCCAACAGAATCTCCAGGAGTTCAAGCTGGGAGGCCTTGCCTGGATATAACAGCAATTCAGCCAGCCAGCTTGGGTTTGTGCCTGGTGCTGCCCTTAATGCCTGTGTGAGCCTCATCTCCTCCCTGTAAAATGGGGACAATGGATAAGCCACTGCACTATTCTCTGGCTCATAACTCAGGCATGAGGATCAATGAGTGAATATAAGTTTCTCAACCAGCCCGAGGCACTCAAGGAACACCTAGAGAATGTTTAGTCTCCATTCATTCCTTAGCTTATCTTCTTTAAAGTGGCCGAGCCAGAAATTGCAGGGGTGAAAGCCCTTTCCTGCTTTGGTGTGGAGAGAAAATCACAACCCCCCCCCCCAGGGGCTGAGCACTGGAGCCTGGCCAGCTGGTGGCATTGGAGACAGACAGCCTGGGGTTCGGCCCACAGTGGAAGGGACAGCTCAGCCTCCTGGCGCCCGGCCGATCTGGTCAGGAGAGGGTCTCTGTGTTCCTGACGCCCCGCCGATCTGGGCCAGTTGCCTTCGTTCCCATTGCCAGCAGGCCCATGCCCATACTGTGTCCCCTGCCTGCTTTGGGAAGTAAGGGCAGCAGAGCCCCGCAGTCACAGTGACGAGAGATGGTGGTGACATGTGGCTTTAATCTGACGATCTCAGAGTCAGCTCATGTGTTCCTTCTCGACCCAGCCAGAGTTTTGTCATGGTAGTTATTTAACTAAACCCGAGGAAAGGGATACAGGCTCTCCACATTCCAGACCCTCTGCCAGCCCCGGTCTGAGTCAGTAGTCGGTGGTAAAGGATAAGGAAGTCAGAAACAAACAAAGGTTGAGAATTAAGGCACAGCTTCAGAAATGACCCCCCAAATCAGACCCAGAGCTGACGTTTACCAAACACACACAGTGCCACAGGACACTGTCACTGCACACGAAGTCTCATAGGCATAGGATTTTCACAGACCCACTGTCTCTGAGCTCACACATACACACTATCACAGGACTCACGCGTGTACATGCATAGGGCTTACACACTAACATAAACACAAAGCAAATGAAACATAATAAGAATTAAAACAAGACCCGGCTGCTAAGGCACCCCCTTCCTCCTCCAGGGACCGTTTCTCTGATTTGGTCCCTCTATTCATCCCCCTGGCCCCTCCCTTCCAGGCTCTCTCCCACATGCTATGGTCCAAACTCTCGCCCACCACCTCTCATGCATGCACAGAGCCTCTGTTGGACCCTGCCAGGTGGTCTCCCCCCAGCCCACACTTGAGGTTTCAGAATTTAAAAAACTTCCTTTTATGCCTCTGCCTTGAGTGTCTTGATCTTACAATGTGCCCAAACCTGAGGGGCTGGTTTTTTAAGACCCCAGAAAGACAGGAGTTGTCTGGAAAGTGGGGGCATGTGTTACCTTTCCCCTTGGAAGAAACAACTTGAAGGAGGAAGGGCTTATTTGACTCACGGTTTAAGGAGGGCAGAGGAAGTGTGGAGGCTAGAGCATAAAGCAGTTGGGTCACAATGCAAGGCCCGCCCACCCCAGTGGCCCCTTCCTCTATCCAGACTTCCTAAAGGCCCCACAACTCTCTGAAGCAGTGCCGACTTCTGGGGACCAAGTTTTCAAACACAGGTACCTATCAAACCCCAGGACTCATGGGACATGTGCAGCGGTGACCCCAGGACTCATGGGAAGGGTGCAGTATTACATTGTTTGATTTAGTCCTCACCTGGGCGCTCAGAGGGAGAGGGAGCAATAATCCCATTGGCTCACACATTATTCATAGCTTCGGAAGCTCAGGCCTGGACCCAGGGTGCCCGGGCTGCAGCTTTTCTGGCTTTCCCTGTCTTCTGCAGCTCTGGGAGGAAGTAGCTGTTGGCTCATGGCATCATCCCTGCAGGAACTGAAAGGTGTCCTGGTGTCTGGTAGAGGGTGGGATTTGAGAGGAGAGCGCCCGCTGAGCCGGGCAGAGGACTGGCTATCTCTCATTGCTTGCGCCACAGTCCTCTCAGGGAGACAGTGCACGTGCTGGGGTATTGGAAATTGGCGGGAAGGTGGTCTTGGCATGCAGGGAAGGTCAGCCCAGGCTCCACCCGACTTTCTCTTTGCCTTTTCACAAACGCTTTTATTTTCCCAGAGTTTCATGTGTGTGGCCCTGCAGGGACATATGCTCACGGCCATCTGAGCCTCTGTCTGTACAACTGCCAACTCCCCCCCAGGTTTCCTGAACCCAAACAGCCCGCCCTCTCAACCCATCCGTAGAAGGGGTTTATTGTTCCTTAGGGTATCCGGCCCTTTGAGAACACAGATTATGAATTCAATTTGAAATGCATTCAATTTGAAAACACATCTTTGGGGTTTTTGTTTTGTTTTGTTTCATTTTAGAAGAAGGAGAATCCAAACAACGCTCCCACGGGTGCCTGCCCTCTCAGGAGTCTCTTGTATTTGTGTTTGAAATGGTAATAAAAACCACAGGGTTGAAGAGAATGGGGTCAGGACTAGATGGTGGGTGGAGACAGTCTGTTATGAGGCAGGGCGGCCGAGCACTGTCCTATGTATGGTAGCTTACCCAGGGAGGTCCAGGTGTGTGTGTAAGGGTTAGTGAAGGCTGGCTCAGGAGCCAGCCATCTCTGAAGTTGGGATACAGCTGGCTGGGCTATTGGGTCCCTCCTTAAGGGGCAGCGAGGTGTCCTGCTGGTGTTTTCTGTCCCTTATGTGCTGCTCACTGCTGTCATCGTTCCGTGGTTTGAAGTTGATGCTTTCTAGCTCTCATGCTATTCCTAGCTCTCATGCTATCTTTTTCTTTTGAACCCTGTTCTCAGGGGTCCTGGCTCTGGAGAAGACTTCGTGGTAAGAAGCGGCCAGGGATGGCGTTCTGCCTCTTGATGATTCTGTCCGTGGTGGCTGTCACTCACCTTCCTCCAGAGCATCCAGCTTCCACTCCAGGACTTGGGCCCATGGGTCCCCAGGGGAAAATGGGCATGCCTGACTCCAGCATTTGGCAGGCTTTGAACTCTAGCCAGAAGCAGCAGGCAAGAAACCTGAGCTTCTGGAAAGGCCAGCCTTTGCCCAGAAATTCCATCTTGGTCTGCACTGAGAAACAAAGCCACAGAAGGCCCGTGGACAGACGCAGACACGCACTGAGGGTCAGGAGAGACGCTGCTGTGACACTCAGTGCCCAGCATCCCATGCTTTCTGTGGAGGATGAGGTCAGAGATGCAGGAGGCACAGCCCAGGACCCATCTGGGCATGATGGCCCTGTCCAAGAGACACAGAGTAAGACAGACACCCTGGTTAGCCCACTCACGGGGAGCAGCCTGGCAACTCCCCAGGCATGGAGAGGTTCTGCTGCAGTGAATTTTAGGTCCCAACCAGCAGAAGGTGGGGATTCCCTGCCAGGAGCCAAGGACAGAGTCTTGACTGGTGGGAAGGCTAGGGGTGACTCTGCAGGTTCTAGAACCCATTGGTGGCATGGCTCTGTTGGAGAGCTGCAAAGGTCCCCATGGTGTCACACTGAGCCCCCTGGGTTATCTGCCAGTGCTGTGACTGGGGGGCAGGTCCCACCATGGTTCACGGAACATGACGTACGGACTCTGGGGCTACTGGCCCATGGGGAGGTGGTGGGCAAGGCCAGGGTCCCTGCCCATGGGCAGGTGCTGCAGGTGGGGCTATCTGCTGGGGGTGACCTCAGCATGCCTCCTCCCAGACTCCGCCAGCTCTGCTCCCAGGGTCTCTGCGGCCTGATCAAGAGGCCCAGGGACCTGCTTGAAGTCCTGTCCTTCCACGTGGACCGTGTCCTGGGTCTGCAACGGAGCCTGCCAGCGGCAGCGCGGAGCTTCCACAGTCCCCTTCTGCCCTACCGCTACACGGATGGCAGTCTGAGGCCCGTCATCTGGTGGGCACCCGATGTGCAGCATTTAGGAGACCCCAGTGAGGACCAGAACTCTCTGGTCCTGGGCTGGTTGCAGTACCAGGCCCTGCTGGCTCGAGGCTGCAGCTCGCTGGGCCAGCTCCCATGCCCCGGCATCCACCGTGCCGAGTGGGCTCGTTTGGCCCTCTTTGACTTCCTGCTGCAGGTAGGTGTGATTGGGCGGTGGTGTGGAGGTAGGAAGCCTCGGGTGAAGGACAGCTTTGCCTGGCCTGGCTTTATTGTCAAGCAACTGTTCTTGTTGTAACTTCTCTGCCTGCTTATCCTGTGGTATCCTGGCGTAGCACTTCTTAAACATCTTTCCATCCAGGGACTGGATAGATGGCTCAGTGGTTAAGAACTGCTCTGGTAGAGGTACAAGGGTCGATTCCCAGGACCCACATGGTGGCTCACAGCCATCTATGACTCCAGTCCCAGGGATCTGATGCTCTCTTCTGGCCTTGTCAGGCATTAGACATGCCCATGGTACCCAGACATATATGTAGGCAACACGCCCATACACATTAAAAAACAAGACAGAACAACATAAAAAAAAGCCTGACCACTACAAAAAATAAAATAAAATAAATTCCCATTTGTAACTCTGTTTTACCCAAGAATTTTGATTTTGTTTTTTGAGACAGGGTTTCTCTGTGTAGCTTCAGAGCCTGTCCTGGAACTCACTCTGTAGACCAGGTTGGCCTCAAATTCACAAGAGATCTGCCTGTCTTTGACTCCTGAGTACCAGGATTAAAGGCAGTCATACGCCACCACCACCTGGCTTTCCCAAGAAATCTTTATATAGAAATGTAAAAATAGGTATATAAATGAAATATTTACAAATAATGATGATGAAAATTTTATTTTAAAACATTTCTCAGGTATACATAAAATCTTGCCATTTATTAAAGGTGAGAGCAAATTTGTATATTAATGAGCGGTATATGCTTATGTATTTTAAATGAAGGGTCGACTGGCCCTGCAGGATGGAGGGGCCTCTCCAACACTTCACTTGGTTGACACTTTGATTTTATTGTCACAGTGCTGGGTATGCTGCTTCGCATAAGTAGGTGGGGGCTGAGAAGAGCGAGCTTGCCATGTCAGTATGAGGACCCGAGGTCCCCAACACAGACACTAGAAGCCCAGCCAAGCAGTACATACCTGCAGTCTCAGACTGGGGGAAGGGGGAGAGGTGGGGCTAGGCAGCCAGGTGGAACTGTGAGCTCCAGGATCAGTGCAAGTCCCTGCCTCAAAAAGTAACTAAGGAAGACATCCAAAGACAAAACCTGGCCTCCACACATGCATGCGTTCACACACACATGCATTCACACACGTGTGCATTCACACATGCATGTGTTCACACATGCATATGTTCACATATACATGCCTCCACATGTGCATGTGCTCACATGTGCACGTGTTCAGACATGCATGCGTTCACATATGTATGCATTCATACACGTGTGCGCTTGCACACGTGTGCATTCACCTATGTGTGCATTCACACATACATGCGTTCACACATGCATATGTTCACATATACATGCCTCCACATATGCATGCGTTCACACATGCATACGTTCACATATGCATGCACACCTTCATGACACATGAGAATGTACACACACACATTCTCTACAGAAAAGGCAGAAGTATGTTTAGGGCCATGTCAGAAATTACGGGAAATTCTGTTTTAATCCCAAGTTACAGAATCAGGACCCCTCCTCCCAATCCTATTGTTAAAATACCAGTTTGCAACTGTTTACATTTTTTGATGTATTTATTTTAATGTCTGAGTGTTTTGTCTGTGTGAATGTATGTTTATCACATGCATGCCTGCTGACCATCAAAGCCAGAGGGGAGGGCATTGTATTCCCTGGAACTGTAGTCCAGATGATTGTGAGCTGCCATGTGGATGCTGGGGGTCAAACCCAGGTCCAGTCTCAACACTGTTTATAATTTTATATCTTTGAGCCAACATGGAGTCAAGAGTGTTGCATCATTTAAAATAAGGGATCAAGAGAGAGAGATGAGAGAGATAGACAGAGACAGACAGAGTCCAACAGAGACTGACACAGAGAGACCGAGTCAGAGAGATACACAGACAGAGAGAGACAGAGAGAGACAGAGACAGAGAGAGAGACAGAGAGAGACAGAGAGAGAGACAGAGAGAGACAGAGAGAGACAGAGAGAGACAGAGAGAGAGACAGAGAGGGAGACAGAGAGAGAGACAGAGAGAGAGACAGAGAGAGACAGAGAGAGAGACAGAGAGAGAGACAGAGAGAGACAGAGAGAGACAGAGAGAGAGACAGAGAGAGACAGAGAGAGAGACAGAGAGAGAGACAGAGAGAGACAGAGAGAGAGACAGAGAGACAGAGAGACAGAGAGACAGAGAGACAGAGAGACAGAGAGACAGAGAGACAGAGAGACAGAGAGAGACAGATGGACACAGAGAGATGGAACACACACAGAGAGACAGAACACACACACACAGAGATGGACACGCACACAGAGACAGAGAGAGACAGACACACAGGGAGAGAGAGAGAGACAGAGGCAGAAAGAATGGAAGGAGAAGCTGTAATGGAAGGTGCCCCTCCATCTGGACACTGAGCATTCATTGTGGCCAACTAAGGTCCTTCTCTGTCTGGCAAGAGAAAGCCTAAAGTTGTTGAGTGGAGGGGGTAAGGTGGGATCCAAGGTAGAGTTGAATAACAGGGGTAAGGTCCAGCTGGAGGCTGAGAGCATCAGCTGCTCAATTGGCCCGTTGGAGCGCAATTGCTCCCGGCTTGTATATGTGATGCTGGCTGTGAACAAAGGGGGCTTGAAACAGCTGGTCATTCACACCCACAACCAAGAAGCAGAGAGTGGTATATGCTTTCTCTATTTTACACACCCTAGAATCCTCTACCCAGGAAATCCCTTCCATGATAAAAATGTGACTCCCATGTTATGACGGACTACACCTCTGAATCATGAGTCAGAAAAAACCCTTTGAGTTGTTTTCTTGTCAGGGTATTTTATCATAGCAATGGGAAAGGAAACCAAGACGCCATGCACACGTTCCACACAGCTCGAGGCGTGCTAGAACATTTATGGATATAATTAACACAGGCACCCAGAGAGGGGTATACACTTGGTAAGCAATGGGCTCCATACCCAAGGCTATCCAGGAACAGATCCAGACCATCCCCATGGCAACCTTACTGGTGAGATGCCACATTTACTCATGTTCTAAAGTGAGCTGGATGGAAGACAGCTCAGTGGGTAAAGTGCCTGCTGTGCCGGCATGAAGACCTGAGTGTGATTCCTGGCTCCCATGTAAAAAGCCAAGTGTGGAGGTGATGGCTCCCAGAGCTGGGTAGGAGGAGACAGGAGCACCCCTGGGTCTGATTGGAGAGTGATGGGTTGGGGAAAGGTGCACAAGGAATACATCTGACCTCTGGCTCCTATATGCACACAAACAGATATGTAGAAGTGTGCACGCATGTGCACAGGTACACACACACACACACACTAGTAATCATTAGTGGAAAATAAAATGGAGCCATTGAGGCCCAGAGATTAAGTCCCTTGTCTAAGGTCACAGGCAGGGAACTGGGAGGCAGCCTGGCTGGCCTGGCCCAAAGCACACTCCCTTCTCACAGAGTCACTATTGAGTTGGCCAGTAATGGGGGCAGAAGGGGACATTTGCAGGGAGGCCCGGGAGCCCCGAGACCTAGGGAGCAGCCGTTTGCAAAGCAATGTGCTCACGATAGTCTTCTGCTCTACACAGAGGACCTCTCTGTTCCTCTCCAAGGCTGAAGCATGGGACCCTTCCTCAGCTGCCAAATTCTGCGGTGGACAGAAATCTCTGTAGCCAAAGGCACACACAGGTTAGCTGTGTGGTCAGACACCACTGGGCTGGGATCATGCCACCTTTCCCTAGTTTGCTGGATAGCAGTCAAGAAAGAACAGCCATCTGGCTGACAGCACCTTCCTAGAAACCTCAGCGAGGCTGCAGAATGTGTTTCTGCACGGGCATCTGAGGTGCTGACCCACAGCTGTCCACAAACTCTTTATGCAGCTCTCTGGGGTCGGTCTGCTATCAGCACACTCACCTTAGCAACACTCAGAGGCCAGGGAGAAAGGGCTGGGGTCTGATACCAACATGTTTCTCTGTGCAAGGGTTTTTCTTCCACGTTTCCTAGGGAGTCCATGTCTATTTGGGAGAGAGAGAAGAAACGTTTCCACTGAACTCCCCCAACCTGAGTTTCTTGGGGTTGCTTATAGGAAAAATGGGTGAGGGTTTACCAGGTCATGGACAGTTGTGCTACTGAGAACCCTCCACCCCCAACAACTGTTAACTGCTTATAGTTCCTCCACAGGGGATTAGAGACCCACCTCGTGAGCGCGCCTGTGGCTAATCATAGCTACCCTTTTCCAGCTGGCAGTGACCATGTCACACCTGGAAGTTGTTAGTGTTGGCATTTGAAGGAGGCTCGTGCCCCCAAAGCTAGGCCCAAGCTGCCCGGCTCTGTCTCTTCTTGGGGCCATCACAATGGCTCCTACCATGTCTCTTGTCTCTGTTACGGCCTGTCCAACCCTGTCTCCTCACGGAGACCAGAGAGATACTTTTTTCTCAGCTCTCAGCAGCAGAGCCCAATGCCAATGGGATAGAACCAGCACAGGAGTGAAGGCGGCCACCCAAGGGCACGTGGTACTCAACTCCACAGTGAAGCTCACAGAGTGGTTAGAGATGACTGGCTCAGGGCTAGTCTGTGGGGAGTGGGGAGACTCGGGTGCTTGTAATCAGATCCCTGTCAGGCCGCAGCTGGGGGATGTTCCTGGGGACTATTCTGACTGCATGGATGAGAAGCCCTCCACAGCAAAGCCATATGGAAGCTGCAGCCTAGAGGAAGGGCTCTGAGCCACGCAGGTGGGAAAGGTCAGAGGGTGTTTGTCTTCTGTCACAGACCCATTTGGTCCTTGTCAGACAAAGCAAGGCCTTCAGGACCCAGAATGGTCCTCTGACTACAACCTCTCCAGCTTTGTCTCAGTCACTTCCTAATCCAGCTGGAGCAAGCAAAACACCCCATAAGATCCAGTTGTAGAGTATTTTCTTGATTAGTGGTTGTTGGAGGTGGGCCCAGACCACAGTGGATGGTTCCATCCCTGGGCTGGGTTCTATAAGAAAATGGGCTGAGCAAGCCATGAGGAACAAGCCAGGAAGCAGCTCCCCTCCATGGCCTCTGCATCAGCTCCTGCCTCCAGGTTCCTGTCCTGACTTCCCTCAGTGACCGAGTATTAGCTGGAAGTGTAAGCCACACAGGTTGCCTTTGTTCATGGTGTCTGATTACAGCCTCAGTGACCCTAAGACAGGGTCTTTCTTCCTTTCATCTCCTTGGGACCATCAAAGACAGGATCTTCCCTTCCAGTATATGTCCAGGGAGGCTTTTCATTGACTGAGAGTGGCTGTGATTTCTACATGGTCATCTTGTCATCCCTCCCCCACTAACTCTATTTTATTCTTCACCCTCTCCTGTGTGTGTGTGTGTGTGTGTGTGTGTGTGTGTGTGTGTGGCCAGAGGTCATGAACTGTTGCATCTCTCAGGTGCCCATTGACTTTAATTGGCCTGGAGCTAGCCACTTAGGTTAGCCTGTTAGGCAGCTGAAACAGGAATCCATTTTTCTACTTCCCCAGTGCTGTATCTAGAAGCACGTGCCATCACGCCTAGTTTATTTGTTGGCTTACTTTAATTTTGTTTGCATATGTGTGCATATGTATCCGCATGTGCGTGCAAGTGTGTGTGTGTGTGTGTGTGTGTGTGTGTGTGTGTGTGTGTATGTGTGTGTCGCTGAGACATGAGGAATTGGCTCTCTGGGAAAGATAGTGTTTCTGTGGAGGAAAGAATGACCCCCTACCCAGCAAAGGTTCTGGGTACCTGGGCTTCCGGGTGGAAAAGGAAGTGAGGAGGGTCCCAGATAAAGGGTGTGGCCCACAAGAATACCACACATCTTTTCTGGAATCTGCCTGTCTTGGTCCAGGAATCTGGTGAGCCTAGTCAGAGGACTAGGGTCACCCACACCCTGTGCAGGCCCCTCCCTGGCCTTCTATCCCTAGCAGAAGGGCCTGTGGCCTTCCTTGATCAGTTGCAGTGTCTTGTCTCAGCCACATACTCTGTTTGGGAGGAGACAGAGCCAGGAGGGGGTGGGTATGGAGGGCAGGTCCCAGTGACCACAGGCCTCCTTGGGGACCCTGTGTGTTCCTCGTGAGTCATTTATTGTTGCGTTCAGAAGACCTCACTAAGTTTTAAATTGTGTTGAGTGCATTCTGAGCTCTGGGTCAGGCGGTTTCTTTTAATTACTTATTTTATTTAGACTGTTTATTTTCCTGTCTAAGAATTCACAGCTCTTGGGTGCCAGAGGAGATACGCCTGCCACGCCATCTGTCTTCATGGTCAGGGTCAGATTTCCTGGCTTCAAAGCCATGGGCCAGCAGCTTTAGCTATGTGGCCTTCAGCACCGGAGTCACCTCCCAGGGCTCCGCGTCCTCTTCACAGCTGGAATGGGTGTCCCCCTCTCTGCCCGAAGGGACCCAGTGCACTGTGCTGGGTAAAGCTGTCAGGGTGGCACCTCCACAGTCCCGAGCTGTGCAAGGCCCCAGACTGAGTTACAGTTTGCAGCCCTGCAGGGCAGGCTCAGTGCACCGGGACCGCATGGAACCGTCCGTCATTTCTCTGGGCAACTCCTCATTTTCCAGAGTGGAGGAAGGGCAAAGCCCTGAAGGAATGTGGGCTGCAGCCTGAGCCTGCTCGCTTTCAGCTGGTGGGAAAACAAAACCAACAGCGTGGCAAAATAATCAGCCTGGCACCTGGGTGAGCATACTCCTCCTGCCAAGAGCCCAGGTGGGCGTAGATAGCAGGAGGCCAGTGCTGCCCCTGCTTTGCTGGCTGACGCTCCTTGGATCCTGCTCTGGCAAATAAATGCTGCAGGACAGGAAATCTGGATAGAGCAGCCTGGAGATGGGGGGTGGGGGCAGGAGCAGGGGTCCTATGCTGGCTCCTGGAGATGTAGGCGGGGACAGGAGCTGGCTGCTGAAGATGTGGTGGGTGGGGCTTGACAGGAGCATGGTCACTCCTGGAGATGTGGTGTTGGTGGCGGTGTGTGTGTGTGTGTGGGGGGGGGGGGATGTGCTGGCAGCAACAGCGGTCCTGAGCTGGCTCTGGCTGTATGTCCAGGGCAGAGCAGTTACCATGTCCATGTCCCAGCCTCACCAGGGCTGCTTCAGCATTTGGCCCTCCAGCCAAAGGCAATGCAAGCAGGCAGGGGTTCTGGCTTACAGACTGTCCTAACTTGCTTTCTATTGCCGAGATGAGCACACTGACCAAGAGTGGCTTGGGAAGGGAAGGGTTTATTTGACCCTACAGCTTCGAGTCCATCACTGAGGAGAAGTTAGGGCAGAGACTGAAGCAAAGGCCATGGATGGGTGCTGCTCGCCAGCATGCTCCGCACGGCTCATTCACCCTGGTTTGTTATAACACCCAGGACCACCCGTGTAGGGGCGACTCCACCCACAGTGGGCTGGGCCCTCCCATGTCACTCATCAGTCAAGAAAATGCCTCCCAGACTCAATGGAGCTGCAGAAATCTACTCCCTTCTAGGATGAAGTGTTTGCATACCAGCTCTGGAGGTTGCCTCTGGATGGGAGGAACATTAACTTTTATATTACTTCAGTCTGTCACATGGGTAGGCAAAGCCTGCTCAGGGGCTGAAGGCCCCTCTGAACTCGGGAATGGGATGATGGGGACATTTTCCTGTGAGCCTGGGTTCATGGGTCGGGCATCGAGAGCATCTGCTAAAACCATAGCAACTACACACTTTGGACCTGGAAGGGAGAAAGCTCAGGGAGCACAGCGCTGGGAGTCGGAGGCTCTGGGAGCACAGCGCTGGGAGTCGGAGGCTTGGGGAGCACATCTCTGAGAAATGACAAAGGCTCAGTTTGAGTTCAGAAGGAAGGAAAGAACTTCAGAGAACAAAGATGAAGCTCCAGGGAGCCTGGGGGATGGGGCAGGGAGAGCATGTGGTCAGGGGAGTCTGTAATAGAGTGACAGTCTAGGGGACCTCAGCTGGTGAGGCCAGCAGACACAGTTCAGCAGGGCAGGGGCTCCATGCAGAAAGTCTGCGTGCTATGAGCAGTGTGCGTGCCCCAGTAGCTCACACCCTCTCTGGGATTCTCCCTGCTTCCTTGAAGGAATGGCAAGGGCAAGCCACTCACAAAGGCCAAGGAATGCCCACCATTGCTCATCGAGGATTGGTTGTTTTGGTCCTAGTCTTGTTAATTAAGGCTGAAGGAAGAGGAGAAGGTTCCAGAGACTCCAGGACCATCACCCTGTGAGTGTGGAAACAGCAACCAGCACAGATGGTGGCGGCCACACGTCCACCGCCATCATCTGTTGTTGCTGCTCAGTCAGCCAGGCTAGAGACCCGGTTCAGGCTTTGTGGGCACCGCCATCTTCTGCCCAGTTCCATATGTAGCCCGCCTTGTCCACAAATGGGGGCCAACCTATGCTTCAACAACTCCGACTTCTAATCCCAGCTGTGTGCGTTCTCCTTTATGGCTTGGAATGTGTCTGAACTCAGGATGATAGAGTCTGCGTGAGGAGGGAATGAGGCATGGATGTCAGTGACCGCTGGCCGTGAGTGACGCTGGCCGTGAGTGACGCACACCGACCTGCTGCCATTGCCTCAGTCTGACAGTCTAAGGTCAGTGGTAGGTCCTGGGGTTTCAGGACAGAAGACTGACTCTGGCAGCCTTAATGGTCCAGGCTTGGCCACCCTTCCTAACGTGCCAATGAGAAGAGATGAGTAATGGTGACAAGCAGAGGAAGCAGGAGTGGATAGCGGGGTCCCGCAACCCGGAGGAGCTCACCTTCAGGAGCTCAGGGAAAGGATTAGGGTAGACTCCCCCTTCTAGCTGGAGGTCGGTGTGGAGCTGACCAGCACACACGGCTCCTGAGGACTGTCTCTGAGCAGCCTTGGGCTGGTGAGGGGCCCAGTGGCCTTATATTGGGTCCGGAGAAGCCAGGTACCATGCCAGCCTTTTCCACAGGTCCACGATCGCCTGGATCGCTACTGCTGTGGCTTTGAGCCTGAGCCCTCAGACCCCTGTGTGGAAGAGGGGCTCCGAGAGAAGTGTCGGAACCCAGATGAGCTGCGGCTGGTACACATCCTGGTATGTTTCTCCTGCACGCACACTACCTTGCCACATGAGTGCTGGGTGATGCCTCTCTCCTGCTGGAGGATGCTCCCAATGAGTGCCGGGTGATGCCTCTCTCCTGCTGGAGGATGCTCCCAACGGCTACACACGGGGTTCCCCAGGCTCCTTCTCTTTGCCAGCAAACCTTGGCTTAAATAAGACTTCTAGGAAGTCAAATGTATAAGTCAGACAAAATGGATGTTGAGCGTGCAGCTTAGGTGGAATCGGTTTGCATGTGAACCCCTTTTCACGGCTCCTCAAGACGCTTCAGGGAACTTTGAAGTCTTTTAGGGGTGGGGTTTGATACCTGGGCTCTGAGTGAAGAGACAGAGGGAATGCTTGGGTTCTGAAGCCTAGATTGCTAGGAATGGCTATGGAAAGTAACATGGAATTCTGGAGGAAGCAGAGTGTGTGCTTGGGAGTGTAGGCCAGAGGAGACGGCCTGTCACTGCCAAACACCAGATTTCAGAAGCGTGTGCAGCCCCTGGAGTGCATGAATGTGGAGTCCAGAGGTTGACACCTGGTGTCCTCCTCCATCATTCCTCATCAGTTTTGAGTAGGGTCTCTCACTGAACTTAGAGCTTGCCAATTCGGCTAGACTGACCTTTAGCCCCAGGGACCCTCCTGTGCGCTCTGGGATTGCAGGCACACGGAACCTCACCTGGCTCTGCCCCCCACCCCCAGTGAAGTTCTGAGTTTTCAGGTTCTCATAAAGGTGTGGTAAGCCTTTTGCCTATTGAGCCATCTCCCCAGCCCATGACATATTTTTAAAGTACCAGAGAATTCCATTTTTTTTTCTTGTTTCCATGTGGAAAGGATTTAAGAGATGCTAAAGATTCTTCAGGGTGATGAAATTAAGGGTGTGGCCAGTGACCTACAGAGATAACAGATATCACTGTATGTTCCTGGTGATACTTAGGCATAGATGGCAAGAGAGACAGTGTGTGCGCGTGTGCGCGCGTGCATGCGCGTGTGTGTGCATGTGCGCGTGTGTGTGCGCACGTGCGTGCGCGCATGTGTACGAGAGGGGGGGTCTATGTGTGATATGACATGAATCTTTTTGACCCTGAAGAGTATGCTTTTTCCTTTTTCACCTGCAAGTTCAGTTCCCACCCATGCTCCTGACCCTGGTACCCACTATACCAGGAACAGCGCCCTCGCCTCGCAATTTAGAAGGCGCAGCTGTGACTCACTACTATGCATCCAGGTTTGAGTTAGCCCTAGTTGCTCCTTAGCTGTATGAGCTTGTGTTTCGTGACTCCCAAGGCTGCTGGGAGGATTTGCAGCAATGGTACACGGGACTGGGGTAGAGTGAGCCGTCAGTTGTGGGACCCTGTGAGCAAGTGAGGGGATTGTGGCACAAACAGCGGAGGGTGCCCTTGAAACTGACCGAGTGGTACCAGTTACACCATTTACCAACGGATGCCCCTGTCCATCTTCTTCCTGAGGTCCGGAGCAGCGATCCATCTCACCTGGTGTTCATAGACAATGCTGGCAACCTTCAGCATCCTGAGGACAAGCTGAACTTTCGGCTGCTGGAAGGCATAGATGGGTGAGGATCCAGGGCGTTGGGTATGAGAGCCCTGCTGTAGACTGTGGAACCTTCAACTACATCTCCTCAGAGGGCTGAAGTCCATCAGACCAAAGCTGGATCTGAGGCTGCAGGGGCTGAGGAAGACTGAGAAGGGCTATAGTCTTTGGGCCTATCCCCTATATCCAGAGGGGGACCTGGGTATCCCTGCAGATTACCAGCTGCTCTGCTTCAGTGTGTGAAGGCTAGCTCATCCTGGATCATTGTGAAAGAGCTAGCCTGGGGACCTGACCTTCCTTGTGCACTCCCAGAAGGCAGCTTAGACTTCTCAGGGCCTTCTGGGGCCCCAAGTATGCCCAGCTGAGCCCAGAGTGGTAGGGTTGGTCCCCCAGGCTTCACTTTAGGATGGGGTCCATCCGAGAGCTCTGCCTTCTGCTTTCAGGACACAGCAGGCTGCAGAATCCACTGATAAGGAGCTAGCAGGCACAGACCTGGCACTTCCTGGCTGACTGTGCCGGGTTCCCATGGGGGGGGATGTTTGGGGTTCACACCTTGTGGAGGCTCTCTGAGCTCACTTTTGCCTTTCCTTTCTTGCATGGGCTCTGGGGCTTCGGCTGCAGGTTTCCCGAGTCTGTCGTGAAGGTTCTTGCATCAGGATGCCTACAGAACCTGCTGCTCAAGTCCCTACAGATGGACCAGGTGTTCTGGAAGAGCCAAGGTGGAGCCAGAGGTCTGAAGCACGCTCTTGAGATGCTGGAGAGGCGAGGACAGGTCCTGCTGAAACACATACAGAAGCACAACCTCACACTATTCAGAGACAAGGACCTGTGAGCCCAACACTGTCTGGGGAGAGCTCAGCTTGCTAGGGGACTCGCCACAATGTAAACCTGAGCTGGTGTGTTCCTCCCAATGATAGCATTTCCTTGACAACACTAGCTAGCCGATAGCTGTTCTGTTGACAAATGGGAAAAGCCAGCAGCTGGAGCAGCCTAAGGGCCAGGGGATGGATTACCTGTTGGGGATGGTGGAGAGCCTCTGGCCTCAAATTCCCTCTGCATTTTCAGCTGTGGCTATTCAGTCCCATGCACCGATAAATACGTTTAAGAACAGCGTATGAACTGCTCCCTGCACATGTACATGCAGTGCTATGTGTGTGCATGTGCGCAGAGGCATGTAGGTATATGTATGAACTTGGAACTTCATGCATGCTAGGCAAGTTCCCCACCAGCTGAACTATATTCCCAACTGGAGAAGCCTGTTCTTTTTAAGATTTACTTTTTTAATTAAATTTTTTATTTTTAGGTGCATGGGTGTTTTTCCTGCCTATACATTTGTGCACCATGTGTGTTACCTGCTGACTGCAGAGGACAGAAGAGGGGCCAGACCCCTAGGACTTGAGTTACAGACAATTGTGAGTGGCTGTGTGGGAGCTGAGAATTGAACCTGGGAGAATTGAACCTGCAGTCAGTGCTCTTAGTTACTGAGCATCTCTCCAGCCCCTAATTTTATTTTTATTTATGTGTGTGTGTGTGTGTGTGTGTGTGTGTGTGTGTGTGTGTATGCATGCTACATGTGTGCAGTGCCTATGGAGGAAAACCAGATTCCCCGGGACTGGACTTACAGGTGGTTGTAAGCTGCCTGATATGGGTGCTGGGAAATGAACTCTATGTAATCTTCTACAAGAGCAACACATGCTCTTAACCACTGAACCATTTTTCCAGTGGCAACATGGAGAAGCCTGTTATAAAAACCAAATTTCCCTTATTATTGTAGAAGATCTTCATTCCCATGTTAGCTGTTGCATGCTTTGTGAGCTGACTTCAATGTGGGGTGTTTGTTCCTCCTTGGTCGTGTGTTAGAGTTTTGACTCTGAGCCGCATGTACTCAACCCTTGCTGTTAGACTTGTCTGTTTCCTCTCAGTCTGCCGTCTATGGCTTGACTGTCCTCCATGCAGTCAAATTTGTTTGTTTTTGCCTGTGACTCTTCTGGGGTTGCTGTCTTCTTAGGTTGTTGCTTCATCAGATCACTGAAATATCTGTGTGCTTTTTATTTCTTCGTGTCTTTTTGTATGAAGTTTGCATTTGAGAGAGGTTTGAGTCCGGGGTGTAACTGAAGTTTCCTTGCTCCCGATTCTACTCAAGAGCCTACTTTGTTCCCACCGATCCGAAAGTAATACTCTTCTCAGACAAATCCCCAGGCACACAGAGGTCCCCTTGTGAGCTGTACTATGCTCTGCTCATAGGGATTCCTAACTCCCTGCTTCAATGGGGCACTGTTCTAATCAAAGTTACTTTATTCTGTCTGGTAGCATGAGTGTCCACTTAAAATGCTTATGTCATTTTGTGTGTGCTTGAATGTTTTGTCTGCATGTATGTCTGTGCACATGCATGCGCTCCCCACAGAAGCCAGGAGAGGTCATTGGATCCTCTGGAACTGGAGTTAGAGATGGCCGTGAGCTGCCTTGTGAGTGCGGGAAACTGAAGTTGGGTCCTCTGACCCTGGGGAGAGCAGATGGCGATTTTAACTGCGGAGTAATCTTTCTAGCCCTCTAGGTGAAATATTTATCTGAGTCTTTAAGGGGAAAAAATCAAATTTTCAGTTTCAATTTTTCCTCATTTAGGACGCTGTGTGACCTTCATTGTTTGTTTGTTGGGAGAAAGGTTGAGTAACAGCTGCAGCAATGTCTATATCTGACTTTAATGACAGCATGCCTGTGGTTCCATTGTTAACCATCAGGGAGAATGCAGGACCAGGTACTACGCAGGTCAAAGGTGACTGATCGTATGGCTGTCCCATGGATGCACCTCTCTTCATAGCCTGTGTGTAAGACATTGCCCATGTGGGTGAGCACAGCACGCTCCCTCACAGTCCTGATCTAACCCACTGTGCCGTCCCCTTTGATACCTGGGTACTCGCTGCTAACGTTGCTTACGGTTGTTCAAGAAGACTTGCCCAAAGGCTATCTCCCTATGAGCTGCCAGCTTAAGGTAGCTCCTAAGGCCACCCCCAAATATAGGCAATCGCCACTCTGTTAGTTGCCCACCTGTGCTAGATAAAACCCTACAACTGAAGACGCCAAACACCTGTCATGTGACAGAGACATCAAGTTGGAATTGGAAGCTACCTCCCCCTGCCCATTAACCGTCACAGTTTTATAATGTGTCGTGCAGGCTTCTGCGGGCAGCAGGGGGTGGGGGGGAGAGGGGGAAAATAACAGTTTCATTGGGCTGCAGACTCTGTCTGTGCAACAATATCAACCATCCAGGCAAGATATGACTACTGATGCAATGGTGGCAGGTGCGTTAAGGGGGCAGCCAGCTGATTGGATTTGAAGACCATTTCACAGGACAGAATTCAGGTTTGATGTCACAACCTGTTCAGAAGCCTGTGGTTGGGGAGGTCACGGGCCTGCTGCGTTTCATGGATATGTGACGCCTATGAAATTGTCTTCTAAATAACGTCACACCTATGGGCCAGTGCTGCTGCCAGCTTCGGTAGACTTCTTTGCAGGGGCCAGCAGGGCCTGCAGACTCATAATTGGTCTAAGTGCTGAGGGTGGGTGACTATCGAATTCTCACCCAGGAGGCATCTACTTCACCCTCTCCAAGGCTTGAGGAGCATTACAAAAGGGTAAAAAAGAGTGGCTGTGGTGGTGTGGGGCACTGGCTTCTGGGTATGACGAGGCTGTGCTATTCTTGAACTCACAGAAGGCCAATACAAGATGGGGTCCACATACCCGGCTCTGGAAGCGGGGGGGGGGGGAGCTCGTGGGGTGTCTCATCCTTCCCTGAGGATTAGTCAGGGTAGTCAGTGGTAAGGTCAATGGGAACAAACCCTCACCCGTGTGCTTCTAGGCAACCCTTAGAAAAGTCGCACGGGAAAGGGCATGAGAAGAGGAAGGGTGTGGGGTGGAGAGAGCTTGCTCAGAAGGCGGGGAACAGGGTGAATGGGATTGAAATGAAAATAATCCACATATGCTTAGAAGACACTAAGACACTTGACCCAAGATGTTCATAATCATTTAATGACTGCTCCAAACACACCTGTCACTCAGCTACAGGTGAAATTTCCAGAGACTATCTGCCTAGCCCACCAACCACATGACCACTGTTTCTAGAAGCCAGGACCTGTACCAAGGACAGGAAGCAGCATGACCAATTAGCAAGAGCAGGTCCCTGGGGCCTGCCTGTGCCTCCTCACCACCAAGGAATTCTTCCTGGGTGGGGATTCCGACCAGAGTGGCTACAGGCGGTAGAGACCACCTCTTCCGGGCAAAGAATTCTGCAAATAGCACACCCACAACTGTAAGACGGCGCTAGGCACTGGGCCCAGCCCAGGCCTGCTCAATAAATAGGTAAGTCATCACCACAGCTGTCAGCAGGACTTCGGACCTTGGGAAGCTGAGCGGCCAAGGCCACCCTCCTGAGGCCTGGCCGCGGGCTACGTGCTGCATACCAGCACATCTGCAAAAGGTCCCAGGAGGCTCTTGTTAAAGATGCAGCGGACCCACACCAGGTAGGTGGTAAAAGGCTTGATGTTCTCCGTGAAGGTGTGATTCTGCAGGGTCAGCATGTAAGGCGCGTATGTGTTCTCGCCTTGTTCCTGCAGCCATACCTCGTACTTCACCTCCTTCACTTTTAGGTACTTGAGGTTCCACGGGATCTGCCAGGACACAGACAGGTGGGCCTCTGTGGCACCCTGCACGGACGCCTGGCATCGAGCCTCCCGCACCTTGCCCGGGTACAGGCTGATTGCCCACCTCTGCCTCCGTGGTCCTGGCCGGCCCTTCACCACACGCCGAATGGCTTGCATGAGGGACGGGATGTCCACCCTCGTGTCCTGGTAGATTCGGAAGAGCCACTCTGGGTTCCGGCAACAGAGGTGCCGGGGCACTTCCCGGCTCTGTAGGATGCGGGCCTGCTCAGCCCGGTCCAGGTGGGTGATGCCCCCTTGGTCCCAGGGCCGCTCAGGGTGTGTGACGGTGTTCTCCCGGATCATGTTCCGCCAGGCTACGTACTGCAGGTCCATGCCAGGCAGAGTGGCCAGAGTCTTATAGGGGGTGTAGTGCTCAGGATTGACGGCGTAAGGGAAGAGCTCGACTACGGTGGCCCCACGGGGCAGGAAGAGGGCGGTGACCAGCTGGGCCCCATGCATGCTGACCAGCATGGAGGCGTTGCTGACGAGCCGCACCACATCTGCAAAGGTGTGGTCCTCCAGGGACACCGTCACCGTCTTCATCTGGAACTCTTGCGCCAGCTCTAGCAACAGCTCCGCCTCGTTCAAGATGAGTCTGTTGTGGGTGCGACTGAAGACCAGAATGTATTCCTCGCTCAGGGGTGCACCTGCTTGGCTCACATTGAGCTTTTCGGCCATGAAGCGGGTGAACTGCCGGATCTCATTGCCAGAGACGAGGATGTTGGCCTTTGGGCCCTGGGGCTGGACAAAGCCGTACTGGTACCAGGTGGTGGCCTTGGACAGGCCCACGAACGCGTGCGAAAAGCAGAGCAGCCGGCCCAGCGTCTTGAGTTGCGCGCGCAGCAGCGGCTGCTTGGGGCTAAGGAGTTTGTAAAGGTCAAAGTGGGTGCCCTCGCCCCAGCCCTCCATGAAGAAGAGCCGGGCCTCTTGAGCCAGGCCGGGGAACTGCCGCAGCGTGTAGAAGAGGGGGAGCAGGTCATCATGGAAGACGTGCATGAGGTTATCGGGGTTGAAGCGGTTGGCGATGAGGGCCACGTCAGGCACGAACACCGGCTTCGGCATGAAGCGCAGGGCCGCGGCGGGCAGCTCCACGAAGTTGAAGTACTGGGCGTTGTGGTCCTCCACCGTGGACAGG